AAATGGGGCTGATGTCTCCAGCCTTCCTGAGCTCTCCAGCCACTGTAGCCTCACCCCTCCATTTAGAGGGCCTTCCAGAGCCTCTGTCTTCCAAGCCCTTCCAGAATGCTTGTACCTCCTAACCATGGCGCCACGCCTCCAGCCCTGTGCATGTTGTTTCCCCTTCTTAGACTTCTTTCTCCATCTTGTTCTCAGTCCAGTGGCATCTTCCTTGATGCCACCCTCCTTCCACTTAGCCTCCTGAGTGCTCCAGGCTGAGTTAGAGGTGTTTTCTGGGCCCCTTCTGCCCCCAGTGACTCCCATTATCACAGCCCTGATCACTGTGGCTGTCACTGCCCTGTCTGCCTGTCTCCTGTAGGCTGTGAGCTCCTAAAGGGGCAGGTCTAGGTCAGTTTCCACTCTCTGTGTCCCCAGAGCCCAATCCCAGGCATAGCCTAGAGCATGAGATTCATGGGTGCTTGTAGGAGGGAAGGAGAGAGGAAATTAGCCCAGGGCTCAGCTCACCCCCAGATGCTGCAGACAGCCTCATCCCAGTTAAGCAGAAGAGGTGTTGGGGCTGCTGAGGGAGGGATGTGCACCTCTGCACTGTCTGTCCATGTGGCCCTGCTTCTTTCTCTCCAGGTAGACCAAGCAGACAGAATGTCTTTGCCAGTGGGGGATGGAGGTGGTGAGTGGTGCGTGTGTGTGCAGAAATGGGGGGCAGACTCTTGGGTCTGGAATTGTTTAGAGGTTGGCATAAACCACAGCAATGGACGTGACTCTCTGGGCTAAGCTGACGGGCACTGACTCAGGCAGAAACTTGGGTTAGAACCCATGCTTGGATGTGTGACCTTAGCCAAGTTACCTGTCCTCTGTGCCTCAGTTTCCCCATCTACAATAGGTGTGTGTTGGGGGGTAATAATCCCATTTCACAGGGCATTTTGAGAACAGTTAGAGAGAATGACAGTTGAACACCCAGGCAGTACATACTCAGTGCTGCTTCATTGATTCATCCAACAGAGATGAATGGCTTGAATACCAGTCACTAGGCTATGCCCTGGGCACAAAGAGGTAGACAGTGTCCCAGCCTCTGAAGAGAGGGACAGGGGCAGCATCAGGTGGGGCCTTTTAGGCCATGGAAAGGAACTTGACCTTTACCCTAAGAGCAGTGGGAACCCAGGGAAGGATTTTAAGTTTAGAAATGACATGGTTAGATTTGGGTTTTAAAGACGTATCTTTGGAGATGATGGAAGAGACAGGTTAGGATAAATAATGCTTCCAGAATTCTTCCTCAAAGAAACTACCTAGAGGCTGGGATGAGTTACAACAAACATTCTTTAAAGGACATTCCTGGCCGGGCGCAGTGGCTTACGTCTGTGATCCCAGCACTTTGGGAGGCTGAGGTGGATGGATTAGCTGAGGTCAGGAGTTTGAGACCAGCCTGGCAACACGGTGAAACCCTGTCTCTACTAAATATACAAAAAATGAGTCAGGTGTGGTGGCGCATGACTATAATCCCAGCTACTCAGGAGGCTGAGGCATGAGAATCGCTTGAACCCAGGAGGAGGAGGTTGCTGTGAGCCAAGATTGCACCACTGCTCTTCAGCCTGGGCAGCAGAGCAACACCGCATCTCAAAATAAATAAATAAATAAGTAATAATAATAACAAAGTGCATTCCTGCGCTCCCACAGAAGTAACAGAAACCCCCTTGAGCCAAGAGTGAAGAAAGAACTGAAGTCAGGCTGGCAAGTAAGATGAAGCCACAGCAGCCTCAGGGTATTTACACATTTCAGAAATCTAAAACCAGGAGTTTTAACGGCCACTCCGTGGATGGGAAATAAAGTCTTGGGCCCACACAGTTACAGTTTGAGGAGTTGCAACTTAGCATCCCCCCACTCAGCACATAAATCTGGGACCCTCCAAGGGCTACATTCAGTGAATAGGAGGATTGGCTAGAAAAAAGGCCCACCCCACCAGCAAGGGGAGACAGCATTTCTAGTGGGGGGAAAAAAGACTCCCTAAAAAATTATAAATACCGGTCTGCCATCGAATAAACTTTGGGTTTGATGGTATACTACTACCTTTGTGGTCCTGGAAACCACAAACTTAAAAAGTAACTTAAATAGTCTCAGAGTGGTAGTTCCCCAGGGAACCTGGCCAAAGTAAATGAAAAATCCTTCCTGGAGCAATGTGTCCTGTCCCACAGTCCCTCTGGATCCGCCAAACATGAATTTGTAATATAATTAAAAAACACACAAGGAAATAAGCCACTGTGAGCAGCAGGCACCAGAAACAAGAAAGAGCAGAATTAGTTTCCCTGAGAGTCTAAAATGCTAGAATTATGAGATCTAGAATAGAAAGAATTATGCTTAAAATGTATAAAGGGGCCGGACACGGTGGCTCACGCCTGTAATCCCAGCACTTTGGGAGGCTGAGGCGGGCGGATCACATGAAGTCAGGAGTTCAAGACCAGCCTGGCCAACATGGGGAAACCCTATCTCTTAAAAAAAAAAAAAAAAAAATGTATAAAGGAATTGAAGATGGACTTGAGGCAGGAAACATGATACTACCCCAAATAACTAAGATTTGAAAAAGAACCAAGTGGAATTTTATAAAATGAAAAATATAATCATTGAAATGAAAAATTCAGTAGACAGGATAAACAGCAGGTCAGAGGCACCTAATGAAATTACTCAGGATCTGACAGAGAGTCCAAGAGATGGTATAGAAGTTAGTTAAGAGACATGAAATGTAGAATAAAAAGGTCTAACAGAGAAGAGGGAAGAAGATGGAAAGAGTGGAATGGAGAGTTTTCCAACAGACCTGGGTAAAGATGGTGCTGGCCTGGACCAGAAAGCACTGGACAAGAAGGAGTGGATTGAGAGACGTTAGGAAGTAGGCCGGGCACTGTGGCTTATACCTGTAATCTCAGCACTTTGGGAAGATGAGGTGGGAAAATCACTTGAGCCCAGGAGTTCAAGACCAGCCTGGGCAACTTAAGAGACCCCATGTCTGTAAACATTCTTAAATTAAGAAAAAAAGTCAGGAATTAGTCCAGGCGCAGTGGCTCACGCCTGTAATCCCAGCACTTTGGGAGGCCGAGGTGGGCGGATCACGAGGTCATGAGATCAAGACCATCCTGGCCAACATGGTGAAACCCTGTCTATACTAAAAATACAAAAATTAGCCAGGCATGGTGGCACGCGCCTGTGGTCCCAGCTACTCAGGAGGCTGAGGCGGAAGAATCGCTTGAACCCAGGAGGCGGAGGTTGCAGTGAACCGAGATTGCTCCACTGCACTCCAGCCTGGCGACAGAGACTCCGTCTCAAAAAAAAAAAAAAGGTCAGGAAATAGAATTGATGGGGTTTAGTGATGGAGGGGATAACAGAGGCCAGGTAAGTTATGTGGCAAAGATGACCATCAGATTTTCTGCTTGAGGAACTGGGTAGAATAGTGTTGCTTATTAAAACTGTGGACAGGCATGGTCTCACATCTATAATCCCAACAGTTTGGGAACCTGAAGCAGGAGGATTGCCTGAGCCCAGGAGTTCGCTGAGACCAACCTGGGCAACATGGTGAGATTCCATATCTAACAAAAGACAAAGAAAGAGAAAAGAAAAAGAAAAGAAAGGCAAAGATTGAGGAAGAACAGATTTGGGAGAATGAACAAGAGTTCAATTTTGAAAAAGACACAGCCAGACGTGGTGACTCACGCCTGTAATCCTAGCATTTTGGGAGGCTGAGGCGGGTGAATCACGAGGTCAGGAGTTCTAGCCAGCCTGGCCAACATGGTGAAACCCCATCTCTACTAAAAATACAAAAATTAACTGGGTGTGGTGGCACATACCTGTAATCCCACCTACTCAGGAGAATTGTTTGAACCCAGGAGGCAGAGGTTGCAGTGAGCCGAGATTGTGCCACCGCACTATAACCTGGGTGACAGAGCAAGACTCTGTCTTAAAAAAAAAAAAAGAAAAAGACATATTTCAAATTGTCTGGGAAGAGCTGCTGATGCATCTCAGAAGAGGAGACTTTACAGCTGGGCTTTAAGGTATATGTAGGAGTTTACCTGGTGGAGAGGGAATTTCTTTGAACTAACTTTTGGAAAATAGGATTTCCCTTCAGGGGGATCTTCGAGCCCCTTTCTGGAACATTCTTTCACTCAAAGGAGGCTACTTGAGAAGAGGCATTATCAAAATATCAAATAGACAGGGCTTCTGGGATCTCTTAGTTTCATTTCTCATTTTTATATGGGAAAGTTGAGGCCCAGAAAAGTCAGGGGTTTGCTTTCCTAGCCTTAGACTCTTCATTCATTCATTCACCTAACAGACATTTATTAAAATCCTGCTTTGTACCGGATACTTGCTTTCTGGAAGCTTATAGTTTAGTGGAGTGGGGCAGACAATAAACACAAAAATAAGTAAAATATATCATGTCAGAGGGTGGTAAAAGCTATAGAGAAGCGTGAGGACTTGAAAGGGCTCAGGGTTCTGGAGGAGCCATTGGCAAAGTGAATTTGAAAGGCCCTGGGCCTCTTGTATGGGGCCGCTGACCCTGCAGTCCATTGTGACAACGTCTGGGATTCTAGAGTGCAGGCCTGGGGGAGGGAGAAGGCCTGGAGAAGATGGAGGGAGAAAGGGACTGTGGGATTTAGTGGGTGGGCTGCACCCCCCTGGGGGGCAGCAGAGTCCAATGGGTCAGAAGGGCCACAAAGACTCCCTTTACCCTTGTGGAGGGTAAGATCATTTATTCCTGAGGCCTCCTTGCACCCTGCCCTTGGCCCCTCCCCAACCCCCATCAGATCTCAGATGACATTCCCTTCTGCTCCCCCTCTTATCCTTGGGAACACGAAGAGGTGGGTCCAAATTGTCCCTTTGTCTCAGTACAGAGTGGCAGCCTGGAGGAGCTTGTGACAAGCACCCAAGGCTGTCCAGAGAGGCTGAGTAAGCCCTGTGAGGCTCTGTCCCAGCCAGGAGAGGCTGGAGGGCCCCTGCGTCATGTCCCGCATCTCTTTCCCCAGGACTCCTGAGAGCAGCCTCCACGAGGCTCTGGACGAGTGCATGACCGCCCTGGACCTCTTCCTCACCAACCAGTTCTCAGAAGCACTCAGCTACCTCAAGCCAAGGTGAGGCTCAAGCCCCAGTTGGGGTCAGGGGTGTGCATGACAGTCAGGGAGAACCAGAGGTTACATACCATAAAACTCACCCTTCCTTATTACTTTAAAACATCTATTGGGCCAGGCATGGTGGCTCACACTTGTAATCCTAGCACTTTGGGAGGCCAAGGCAGGCAGATCACTTGAGGTCAGGAGTTCAAGACCAGCCTGGCCAACAAGGCGAAACCCTGTCTATACCAAAAATATAAAAAATTAGCCCAGTATGGTGGTGCGTCCCTGTAATCCCAGCTACTCAGGAGGCTGAGGAAGGGGAATTGTTTGAACCTGGGAGGCAGAGGTTAAAGTGAACCAAGATCGTGCCACTGCACTCCAGCCTAGACAACAGAGTAAGATTCTGTCTCAAAACAACAACAACAACAACAACAACAAACCCATCTATTGATAGATGAGAATTTAGCTTTCTTACACCCCTGCCATGTCACCCTTCCCTCATCCTCCTCTTGTCATTATACCACAATATTGGGGTAAATCAATAATCAGTGTTTAGCTGGCCATGCTGGCTCATGACTATAACCCCTGCACTTAGGAAGGCTGAGGCAAGTAGATTGCTTGAGCCCAGGAGTTTGAGACTAGCCTGGACAACACAGTGAAAACCGTATCTACAAAAAAAAAAAAAATACAAAAAATTAGCCGGGTGTCCTGGTGTGAATCTATATTATCAGCTACTCGGGAGGCTGAAGTGGGAGGATCATCTGAGCCCAGGAGGTTGAAGCTGCAGTGAGCTATGATCTTGTGCACCACCGCACTCCAGCCTGGGCAACAGAGTAAGACCCTGCCTCAGAAAAAAAAAAAGGAAAAGCAAAAAAGAAAAAGAAAATAAAGTAATAATCAATGTTTACGTAACCATACCTCTGTGATTAATGCTCATTGTAAAGGAAATCATGTGTGAGACTGTTTCCTTCTAGAGTTAATAATTGTCTTGCTTTTCCCATTGGCCTAATATGCTAAATATGTATCCTTAAGTTTTTATAACCACTCCATCAGATCATCTTATTGTGAGTTTTTCCCCAAATGCTGAAACCGATCAAGTGCTCAGTTCCTTCCTGCCCATTTTCCTGGAAACCTGTCCTCGGGAGGACAGATATGTCTTCTGGCCTCTGCCTGCTGTGTCTTGGAGCTCCTTTGCTTCTCTCCCGTTTCTTTGATTCCAGGTCTTATCTCTTGTGTCCCCCCTTGTTTGCCAGGGAATGTCCTACAGAAATTTCCTCAGAAAGGCTGGCCGCAGTGGCTCATACCTGTAATCCCGGCACTTTGGGAGGCCGAGGCAGGTGGATCATTTGAGGTCAGGAGTTCGAGACCAGCCTGGCCAACATGGTGAAACCTTGTCTCTACTAAAAATACAAAAATTAGCTGGACATGATAGCAAGTGCTTGTAATCCCAGCTACTTGGGAAGCTGAGGCAGGAGAATTGCTTGAACCTGGGAGGTGGAGGTTCCAGTAAGCAGAGATCGCTCCATTGTACTCCAGCCTGGGTGACAGAGTAAGATTCTGTCTGAGAAAAAAAAAAAATTAAAATAAAGGCTTGCATAAATATAACATTTTTCCCTAAGAACTTTGACTACCTGGCTTCAGTGTTCTGGCATTTACTTTAGCTGTGAGAACTCTAATTCTTTTCACTTCGTATATGATCTTTTCTCCTTCTCCAGAAAGGTTTGAGATTGGCTCTTGTAAATCTGGAATTTTACCGTGATGTATGGCAATGAAGCCTTTTTTATTCTGGATTGCTGCGTGGGCTCTCAGTTCTGGGAAGTGCTCTTGTATGATGCTTCCATCTTGTTTCCCTTTCCTGGGCTTTCTTTAACTCACCTTTTCCACCTCCTGGGTCAGTCCTCTTCTGAGCTTCTTCCTTCCCCCTCTCCTTTTTCCCATTGCTTTATCTTTTTTTTTCCCCCTCTGATTTTTGGAAGATTTCCTCACCCTTCTCATTAATTCCTTCTGTTGACTTCTTTATCTCTGTAATCGTATAATTAATTTCCTGGTATTCTTTATTCTCTGAGTGTTCTTTTTCCCTATAACATCTTCTTCTTGGTTTATGGTGCATTAACTTCTTTATATCTATATTTGGAATATGAGGTCCTTAGGACAGCGCCTGGCATGTAATAAGTATCTAATAAAGTATTTCTTATTATTGTCATAGAATATTCTCTTTTTTTTTTTTTTTTTTTTGAGACAGAGTCTCGCTCTGTTTCCAGGCACCAGGCTGGAGTGCAATGGCGCGATCTCGACTCACTGCAAACTCCGCCTCTTGGGTTCAAGCAATTCTCCTGCTTCAGCCTCCCAAGTAGCTGGGATTACAGGCACGCGCCATCACACCTAGCTAATTTTTGTATTTTTTAGTAGAGATGGGGTTTTACCATGTTTGCCAGGATGGTCTCGATCTCCTGACCTCATGATCCGCCCACCTGGGCCTCCCAAAATTGGGATTACAGGCGTGAGCCACCGCGCCCGGCCATTATTTCTCTTTAAAATGTTTCATTCTTTTCCTGCATAATTTGGCCTTCTTAGTGTTCCCGCAGTCTGTTTAATGGGGGAAATCCTCCTCTCATGGGGTGCTTTCTTCAAAAACCAAACAGTCCCCGGCTGTCTGTCTGGTCCTATCTAAGACTGAGCTCACACAAAGGCCAGCTGGAAGGTCTGTGCCAAGCTGCCTTGTAGTTGGTGGGGTTGGCTTTGGATGATCTGGCAGAGAACTGGCCCCCAGGTGTCAGCACCAGCATGGCTTGGCTTCTCCAGAGAGGAATCCTCTGTTCCCCAGCCTAGACAGAGAGCCCCACAGCCTGGGGGCTGAATTGTGAGACTGGGGGCTGGGGGGCTGGGGTCTAATCATTTCTGCCACCTACTCTCCCTAGTTCCCCTCTTTTCAGCTCCAGCTTGTCCTCTGCACCCAAGCCCCACGGAAAAGTGAATGCTGAGGCTGGGGGACTGGCTTCCACAAGTCCCCAGGCCTGACCTGTTCAGTTTCTCTAGACCTGAGGCACCCATCTTTTCCCCGTCTAGAGTCAGTGACCCAGCTTCTGGGCTGGGGTGGGGGTTCCAGGGCATGATGATCGCAACAAGTCCCTCGAGTGGCAGTCTCCACACCTCACTCCCACCCTCTGAAGGGACCTGGCTTGAGGGGGTCAGGCTGGGTGGGTCAGGGTCTGCAGCAAGAGTGTGGCCATGGCCTAAGGAAGGCCCAACTGCAGCCTGCTCTGTCTTGGAATGTCCAGGGTCCCTTTCCAGTTTTCTCGGAAGGCTCCCCAGCTCCTGCTTCTCCCCTGGTCATTTCCTGTCCCGCACTCAAGCCTGGACCCCAGACCATGGTCACCCTCTTGCACTGGAAACCAGCCGCCCAGGCCACAGCTGCTCAGCCTGTCCTGCACCCCAAGCACAGACACCAGTGTTTCTCCTCACCCACTGAGGCCCAGCTAAGACCAAACCATGCCTCAATCTACTCTAAACTGTCCTGCAGACTTGGGGCCAACAAAAGGGAGTCAAAACACAGGAGAAAATATTAAAACCAGAGGCTGTGGCTGCACCTGGGTTCTCGAGCTGTCCCTGCCACAGGGTGAAGGGGCTTTTCCCTCTGTGGCACCCTCACCTCAGTAGGGCATTCTAACAGGAGTCCTACAGCTCTCAGGACCCCCAAAGGAAACCCTCGTTCTAAAAGAGACACCCAGGAATCCAGTCTTCCCATGGAGCCACCTGTTACCTCACATGGGAAGCAGTGCAGTTTCTCAGCCCCTGCCTTATTCCGGAAAAGGATCGATTCTTCCTTCCTTCCTTCTTTCCCTCCTTCCTTCCTTCCTTCCTCTCTCCCTCCCTTCCTCTCTTTCTCCTTCCTTCCATCCTCCCTCCCTCCCTTTCTCCCTCCTTCCTTCCTTCCTTCCCTCCTTCCTTCCTTCCTTCCTTCCTTCCTTCCTTCCTTCATTCCTTCCTTCCTTTCTTCCCTCCCTCCCTCCCTCCCTCCCTCCTTCCTTCCTTCCTTCCTTCCTTCCTTCTTTTTGATTTTTTTGTTTCTTTGTTTATTTTTGAGACAGAGTCTCACTCTGTTGCTCAGGCTGGAGTGCAGTGGCTTGATCATGGCTCACTGTACCCTCTGCCTCCCAGGTTCAAGCGATTCTCCTGCATCAGCCACCCAAGTAGCTAGAATTACAGGTGCGTGTCACTGAGCCCAGCTAATTTTTACATTTTTAGTAGAGATGGGGTTTCACCATGCTGGCCAGGCTGGTCTCGAACTCCTGACCTCAGGTGATCCACCTGCCTTGGCCTCCCAAAGTGCTGAGAGTACAGGCCTGAGCCACTGTGCCCGGCCCTTTCTTTCTTTTTGAGTTTAACAGCCTTTCTCCAAATAGTAGTGTCAGTAGCACACTCCCCCTCTGTGACAACCACCTGTGACAACCCAAAATGTTGGGGGTGGGGATACCCTGCCACTCCCACTGAGAACCATGGGTCTAGAGAAAAATAATTCTTGCTGGAAAACAGCCTCCCTTCCTCACCGATGGCCACCAAAGCTTCAGATGTTGGGTCCAGTGTCATTCACTGTTCTTCACTGAACACACATTGTCTCATTTAATTGGTCCTGGTCCCATGCATTGGGGATCCTCTTTGGCTCCAACTGGGGCATCTGGCTTTCCAAGCTCCCTTCCCAGCCTCCCCTCTGCTTTCCACAAGTCACGTTTGAGTAGTGTCGTCTCTGCTTCTAGTGTATTTCACTTTGCACTGAGTCTGACTTGACGCACTGTCTCTGGGACATGGAGGCTACTGCTTTTGGTTTTCTTGAATTATGTGATCATAGTTAATAAACGGCAGAGCGGGATTTGGATCCAGGTCCTTCAGCTGCAGAGACCACACGCCAACTGCTGTGTGCATGGTTCGCCCTCCCCCTTGGGTGGCGGCATTTACCTTGGGTGGGTCCTCACATCTGCCTCCCCCTACCACGAGGAGTGAAGGAGGTGGAAAGGGTGCACTGGGGACGGGGTGAGGGTGGGGGTGCAGTGAGTTCAGGGTGTGCCCTTGAGTGTTCTGGAGTTTCTCTGAGGGAAAAGGCAAGGTCACCTGCTGAGAGCGAGGGGCCAGGTGATGCTGCAGGGATAACAAGGAGAGAGGAAAAGGTGTTTCTGGGCAGGATGCTGGGCCTGGCAGAGGCTGGGGCCCCAGCCCAGCATGTGTCTGCCTGTGTAGGGGGCAGCTTTCTCTGGCGTTACCCAGTGGCAACATGGAGAAAGTAGACAGTTGCATGGCTCCTGAGCTGGGCTCCTAGCTGGGTTCAGCAGAAGGTTGGCAGGCTTGGCACTGAGTATGCTGACGAGAGAGAGACTGGTATGAGGACACGAGCCTAACTAGTCAGGAAGAGGAGACAGGCTGGAGGAGGGAGGATGGGGCAGTGGGAGTGACGAGCCAGTATGGGCAGGTAGGGAGGCTGTGTCTGGGAGGGGGGTGGCATCCTTTAAGACTCCAGAAGCAGAGCTGTTCTGTGTGATGAAAACAAGGTCACGCTGTGACTCAAAGGATGGGGGTGGTTGGGCAACTGTCACTGGTTCATTCAGAAACAGCCTGTGAGCGCCCTCCTGGGCCCGGCAGTGTGCTGGGTGCTGGGGCTCCTGACTGAGCAAGACCTGGGTTATTCTCAGGGTTCTGCAGGGAAATGGTGAAACAAGCAGTCAGTGGTGCCGAAAGCTACACAGGGACCCCACTTCCTGTGGGAAAGGGACTGGTCAGGAGACTGCATCATTCCTGGGGCTCATTGCCACATAACATTGGAGGTCATTTGTTCAAATATTATTAAGAATTTAAAGACAATGACAGCAGAGAATTAAACCAAGCATGGGCCTTTTTTAGGCACAGGCCCTGTGCAACGGCATAGATCACACACCCGTGAAGCGGCCCTGGAAGGCTTCCTGGAAAAAGTGACAGTTACACTGAGATAGACTGGATGAGAAGGAGTCAGCCAGATGGAGGGGGTGTTTCCAGGCAGAGGGAACAGCCTGTGCAAGGGCTGGGCAGTGAATGAGGGTCTGGTGTATCTGAGAGATGGAGACGCTCAGCCTGGCAGGAATGGGAGGAGCTGAGGCAGGTCCCAGAAGGAAGAGGGCAGGGTAATGGACAGCGGACTGGGGGAGGGGAGTCCGCAAAAGCAGCTTGGGCTGGAGAGGAAGGCAACGAAGTGGGGTCTGATAGGACCAGAAAGGGGAGTAGGGGGAGCTTCAGTGCGCATGAAGGGGCAGAGACTTGGAGAGGCCAAGGGACTGCCTCTGCCTTCCAGTGTCCTCCCCATCTTGACAGCTAGTCTGGGCCCAAGAAGGTGGGACCCCAGTAGACATGTCCCAGAGTGAGGGGGCAGCTCAGGAGTGAGGGGACTATTGTTCCTAGCATCCTGAATGTTATGTATGCAAATAAGAACCTGTGAGGTACAAGCTAAACTTAGGGTGGCTGAGGTTTGAGAGTTGTCGTGCCTCTGTACCCCATTTCCCAGTTCAGACTAGATTTGGGGGCTTCCAGGTGATAGGCTGGGGAGGGGCTAGTATTTTTACCCATAGGTTCCTGTTGGGGAACTCAGACTAGAAATTCCACTTTGTCTGCCAGCTGACCAGGTGGGGCTGTCCCTCTTCTGGGCCCAGCACCAGGTGCGGCTGGGTAGGTGGCGCTGAGTCCCAGGCCTCAGACCTGCAGTGGGGCAGGAAGAGAGAGGCAAGGGCTTGAGAGACGGAGAGACCCAGGGGCTGGGGGTGTCATCTGGGGGATGGGTCTGTGTGCTGCCAGGGAAGCCCCTCCTCAAGGAGAAGGTTTTTATTCGGAGAAGTGACGCAGGACACAGAGGGACTTACATTTACCGAGCACTGGTGCAGCGGCCCCTGACCTGGGTATTCTGTTTAAGCCACACAAAAAACCACTGGGGAGAAGAGTTACAGTTTTCCTTCTGCAGGGAGAAACTAGAGGCTCAGTGAGGCTATGAGACAGGATACGTGCCAGGTCACACAGCTGGTAGCTGGCGAAGCCAATTCCAACCTGTGTCTGAGGGGCTCTGAAGCCTGGTTCTGGCCCCCACTCTAAGCAGCCCACTCTTCTCCACAAGCCACTGCCTGCAGATGAAGCAGTCCTGGCAAAGGCCTGGGAGCATCCAGAGAGTGCCCCGGCTGCCGGGAGCAGCCTTTGTTTCCTTCCTTTGACCCTCAAGGATCACAGGAGCTTCACCCAGAACTAACTTAATTTACGAGTGTTTTATGAACAGGAAAAGCAGGAAAAGGGGTAAAGTCATATGATTTTACAACCAAACAGCCTGTAAACCTTAGTCATCTTTCTCTCCTCTGAAGTTCCCAGCATATACCTGGCACTGAGGAGCTTCATAAATAATTCACAAGGAGACCTGGGGAAGGGAGTAAAGGCTTTCCCAGTCAGTCCCACAGCCCGCAGGGATTGGGCAGGCTGGCATTATCATCCCCGTTTTGCAGAATCAGAAATCTAGGCCCAGACACGTTAAGTGACTCCCCTCACATAGAGAGAACCTGGTGTTGTTCCCATTCCTCCTTGCCTGTTGCCTTCTCCATGTGATAGACTAAATGCCACCCGCTGCCCGCAACACACCTTTCAGCTGGGGAGCCTGGTGTGGTGGAGGAGCTGGGAGGCTGGAGGCTCCTGAGGCCACCTTGGCTCAGCCCTGACATCGGTGCTGAGGACAGAGGTGAGTCACACACAAGCTCTGTCCCTGAGAGGCCCACAGTCTGGGGAGAGCTGAGCCTGTGCCGACGTCAGTTCAGCGTGGCCCATGCCTCAGTTACAGATGGAGTCCCTGAGGAGGGGGCCTGGATTCCCAGTGGCCTGGGAGGCATTTAAGGGCTTTGACAGATATGTCAGGAGATGTAGAAAAAGGGCATTTCTTTCTTTCTTTTTTTTTAAAAAAATTATTATTACTTTTTAGAGACAGGGACTCACTATGTTACTCAAGCTGGTCTCAAACTCCTGGGCTCAAACAATCCTCCCTCCTTGCCCTCCCAGAGTTCTGGGATTATAGATGTGTGCCACTGCGCCCGGCCGAGGAAGGGCATTTCAATCTGAGAGAACAGCCTGGGCAAAGGCCCAGAGGAGGGAAATATGGGATTTTCTCATGGAAGGTCTGTGTGGTTCAGTGTGGCTGGGGGTGCAATCTTGAATGTGACCAGATGGGGGTGGTGGGGAACAGAAGCATCAAGAGGGCTGGAGAGGTGGGCAGGGCTGGCGTCTCATGGAGCTTCAGCCCTGGCAGGATGTGGAAGCCATGGGAAGGTAACCATGGTGTAACCATTGGGCACCACGATCAGATGAGGTGAGGGAGTAGGAGGAGGCAGCAGGTGGCCAGTGAGGAAGTCTAGGGAGTGGGCTCGAGGACAGCCCAGGGCTGAGGTTTGGGCTAAACAGATCTCACAGACAGGACTTGGGCTCAGCCTCCAGGAGGTGGGGGCAGAAGGCAAGAGGGCGGCACTGGGTGCAGGGAAAGGCCACCTCGGGCCAACATGCACTAAACCCTTTCTCAGTGCACACGGCGGCCATGCTACTACTACCCCTACCAAGCCGATGAGGAACTGAGGCTCAAATCTGGTAGGTCACTTAGGGCCACTCAGCAGGAAGAAGGCAAGCTGGAAACAGAATCCCAGGTCTTTTGAGTAGCAAAGAGAGGATCAGACCTGGCCAAGGCCCTCCCTGTGCCTGGACCTCCGGCCCCCCAGCCTCACTGCTGAATGGAGGAGGGTAGAGCTGAACTGCCCAGGCCCAGCTGCCTCTGGGGCTCTGCGAGGTGGTGCTCTCAATGTCCCTTCTCTTTGGCAGAACCAAGGAGAGCATGTACCACGCACTGACATATGCCACCATCCTGGAGATGCAGGCCATGATGACCTTTGACCCTCAGGACATCCTGCTCGCTGGCAACATGATGAAGGAGGCACAGTTGCTATGTCAGAGGTTGGGGGCATTGGGGGCAGGGATGAGAGGTTGGGAGGCCCACCCTTCTGTCACCCTGGCCCATTCGCACTGCTGCTTTTGGCTACAAGGTTGTGTCCCCAGGTGCTAAGAGCGGTCCCTGTCGGCCCTGCTTCAGGAGCTATGTTGTCCAAGCCAGTCACTGGGCAGCTTTTAGGGACCAGGGTGACAAGCTAGAGGAGGAGGCAGCAAGACTTGGGTGGGCAGGAGTGTAGGCCAGGCTGGGCACCAAGAGACATTAAGGAGAGGAACCCAAAGGTGGGACAGGTTGGGAGCTGCCAGGAGCAGCATCACCTGGCCTGGGGCAGGTTGGCCAGGGACTGCTGTATAGACTCAGCCCCAGGACTGTTCGGGTAGTAACTGTCCTCATTTTACCACTGAAGACACAGCCTCAGAGAATTTAAGTGACTTTTTTTTTTTTGCCAGAATATCAAACCTTTTCTGCCTGACCCAAAAGCCTGTGTTCTTTCTGTTAGCTCTGTCTCTCTAGAAATTTTCTAGAGTATAGCAGAGAGGGGCAGAGGCAAGTGTGTCCTCTCTCTCATCCTCACATGGGGCCCCTCTTTTTCTTCTGCAGGCACCGGAGGAAGTCTTCCGTAACAGATTCCTTCAGCAGCCTGGTGCACCGCCCCACACTGGGCCAGTTCACTGAAGGTGCGGCATCCAGGGCGTCCTCTCAGCCATGCTAGGCCAGGCGGCCAGCTCCAGACCCAGGAAGGGGCAGTCATCCTCCCTGTCATCACCTAGGGGGCCGGGCCCTGGTGTCCATGCCAGGACACACATGGGTCAGACCTGGGGCCTTTTGAGGCGTGGCTCTCTGGTGAGGGTGTGGGGGGCAGGTGAGACCTACTTATGTGATGGCACTACTGGCTGAGAACCTGCAGGTCAAGACAAGGGAAGGCTGTCACAAGGCCAGGGCTCTGCTCCTAAGGCCAACAGTGTTTAGAATTGTTTGTGCAGTTAAGTTTACTGATTCAATTATCCTAGTGATCACGTGAGCCCCAGAGGGGAATGTGGTTTTAGCGGCTGAGTCACTGGGACAAGATGCTGACCACATGAGAGGAGGCGGTCAGGGCTGTCATGGTCCATCCAGGTCTTTGTGCCATGACCACATGCAGCTATCCTGGAGGCAGCAGTGGCTGACCAAAAGCAATTAGGGGCTCTGCAGCATAGGGGAAAGTGGCCTTACCCCCCTCAAGAGCCCTGGAAGTTTCCAACACCCCAGAATACCTCTGATGTTGCTGGGTGCACAGCACCTGCAGTAGTGCTTGGGGAGCAAGAGAACAAGACTAGGGGGAGGGGTGTGAGCTAGCTTCTGGGGACAGTGACGAGTGCTCTGAAGCACTGGGTGACGAGGTAGGGGACAGGAGAGGTGCTAACATAGGTTCCCTTTGCTTTTGGGGAAGTAGGGGTATGAGGAGGCCACGGGGCTTTGGTTTTCTCCCGACAGAGGAAATCCATGCTGAGGTCTGCTATGCAGAGTGCCTGCTACAGCGAGCAGCCCTGACCTTCCTGCAGGTAGGGACCTCCGCTGGTACAAGGAGGCTGGGATTTCAGAAGATCAGTTTCCACGTCCAACCACAACCCATCCCCTAGAGCAACCGTGACCCGTCCCCCATAGCAACCACGACCCCTCCCCTGTAGCTGTCATGACCCATCCTTCACACGCCTGCCCCTGGGCACACATGCTCCCACCATTACCAGGATGCTGTTTGCACTGTGTGACTGCGTTAGTTCCTGTTAAGGGTCACATGGGTGTGATAGGCATTGTCTCAAAGCCTGCTTTCCATTTGATTCATTCAGCAAGCACTGTAGCACCTATGATCTATCAGACTTTTTGCACACAGTACAGGTATGTAGTTTTTCCATACCTTACACACATTATAGTTTGTTTTTGCTAACATTTACATTTCTCATTTAATCTTCACCACAGAGGCCTATGAAGGGGAGACTTAGAAGGGAGGGGTCACTTTCCCAAGGACACATGATTAGCAAATGATAAGCAGGGAACCTAGGTTTGATGAAGTTGGTGCCCAAGTCTCCTCATCAAACAGTGAGAATGATGAGAATGATCACTTCGTGGTTTTGCCTGAAAGCCCGGGTTATAATGAGAACATATCATCATCATTATATACGTGTATTTAGCAGGAGAGGAACATACGCATTTTAGTGTTGGGATGCTGGTAAAATGCATTTTAGTGTTGGGGTGCTATGAAATTAACCTCAGGAGATTAAGATTGGATTAATTCTAATCCTTGCCTTAGGATTCACTGCAATGATTGCACCATAAATGACATTTTGATTTGTTTGCTTATTACATTTTTACAAATAATGAACACCCCCCAACACTGCACCCGCCTGGAGGACAGAACCCTGGCAATAGCTCTCCTCACCCTGGGGGTTCCTTCTCACCTGTCCATGCACCCAACAGGGGAATCACTACTTAGAGTACTATGTTTATTGGTCCCTACCCTATTTATTTATTTATTTATTTATTTATTTATTTATTTATTTTTGAGACAAAGTCTCGCTCTGTCACCCAGTCTGGAGTGCTCTGTAGCAGGATCTCGGTACAGTGGCACAATCTCAGCTCACTGCAACCTCCACCTCCCAGGTTCAAGTGATTCTCCTGCCTCAGCCTCCCGAGTAGCTAGGATTACAGGTGCACGCCACCATGCCAGGCTAATTTTTGTATTTTTAGTAGAGACAGCGTTTCACCATGTTGGCCAGGCTGGTCTCAATCTAACCTCAAGTGTTGCGCCCACCTCGGCCCTACCCTATTTTTTAAAAATATCTTTCTCCACTTCGTACTCCTGTCTGAACAGCATATTGTGATGTTTCAGTGGTGCTGAGATTCCTAAGCTGTGCGGGTCTTGCTTTCTTCACTCAGCCTTATGTGACTGTGTGTTATTTCCCTGTGTGAACAAACCGCAGTCTGTTTATCTGTCCTCCTGCTGGTGGGCATTTGGGCTGTTTCTGGTTGTTGGCTATCATGAACAATGGTGCTGTGAACATTCCCGAAGGTGACTTGAGTTTCGCAATCCTTGATCATCAGTTTCCGTTGGGTGTACACAGTGAACGGCGGGCTGTAGGCAATGGAGCTTTAAATTTATAAATGTGGTAAATACCTGCTTGTTGTAAAAACCACAAACAATCCAAAAACAAGCATACCCCCTCCTTTCTCACAGTCCCTCCACCTAGAGGGAGACACTGTTAACCACGGGCGCTGCCCCTCCAGGCCTCACTCTAAGCACATAGTATGTACACATGGGAGGCTGGTCCAGCCCTGAGCATTTTAGAGGTTTTTGTTGGGCCAAGGACCAGGGAGGCCTGGTTTGGCTGATCTCCGACCTCATCCCCCCAGGGGAGGATAAGTTTCCTCACAGGGAGGGGTAGACAGGCCCAGAGCCTTGCAGGATCCCTCTCACGCCTACAACTGCCCACCTGGGCCAGGCTGTCAGCATCTTTTCCTCCTGCAGGACGAGAACATGGTGAGCTTCATCAAGGGCGGCATCAAAGTTCGAAACAGCTACCAGACCTACAAGTGAGTGGGGCTGGCCATCCATGTGTGGGGAGGCCCTGGGCCACGGCATCCGTACGCTGCCCACCTCAGGTGGCTTTGTGGGAGGAGAAGAGTACTAACCGAGGCCGGAACCCAGACTGCTGACACCAGCAGGTTTCTGTGCCCTCAGCACCTCGGTCTCCTGGAGTAATATTCCCCTGGCTTTCTGGCTGTGTCCCTTCCCTTTGGTCCCTTGAGTGCCTGCTCTGTGCCAGACCCTCTGCTGGGGAAAATAAGACACAGATTCTGCATTGGGTGGTCTGGTAGGGGCTGGGAGACAGCTACAAGAACAGCTGTTTTGGGAACAGCAGCAGAACTCCTACACATCTGTTAAGGCCCAGTCCAAATGCCACTTTCCCCCTGAAGCTTTCTTTGACCCCTCTAGTACATGGGAAAGGTATACGTATACACACACATACACACATGCACACACGTGTGTAGGTGCTCTCTGCGTGTCAAAATGATTTCCATGCTCTTTCTCAATCCCTGACATTCAAACTGGGCCAGGCACAGGCTGAGTTTATGAATGAATATTCAGTCCAGAGCATTTGTATCCAATATGGCTTCATAATCCCTTATCTATCGTTTCTACAGCAAAAA